CCAGACTATCCACAGGGAGTGGAGGTGGCCTCCTGGTCACAAGCTGGGCAGAGACTTCAGCTCATGACTCTGAACACAGAGGGAGCAGAGAGAGGTGGATTAATAAGGAGTGCCTTGGTCATCAATGGAATTGCTTTTCTGGACAAGTCCGTTTGGGGGCTTTGGGGCCCACCTGACACACTGTAGGCAGTGAATAAATAGTTCTCAGATTAATAGTAGTGGCTCGTGGAAAATATTCTAAGGGAAGTTAGAATCCTATTGCGTTTAACTGGTAAGCTACTGTAAAAACAGGTTCTGGAAGTTAAGAAAACAGGGCAGTAACAAAGGTAGATTCTTGTTGGCATGACTGTAAATGGCTTGAGGGAGAGAACAGTGTGGGAATTTTCTGGTCCCTTATAGCCGCTTAACAAATGTTTATAGAATGCATGGAAATTGGTCTGGCCCAGGTGCTCCTTCCTGACCAGGTGGCTCATGTACACAGTGCAGGACTTGGAGCTATGGCTTTTTCTGCACTGAGGATGGACAGCCTGATGGAGTCTGGGTGTGTGGTTAAGGGGGGAAAAATTGTTTTTGTGTTTTTTTAATTAGCTACTGGAGAGAACAAAGAGTTTAACACAGGTTTTGTGGCAGCAGAAACCCACAAACTTTGTCAGCAAGTAAAACAGGTGTGACAAAAACCATTGAGAAAGCAGGTATTTTCACAGCTCTGCATTGGGCCATGGGGCCAGGGCAGAGGGGACAATGGATGAGACACATAATCTATGTTGCCCCTGCTAAGCACCTCGTGGGATAGAGCTGGGGACTTCCGGTGCCTGGAAAGACCAGGCAGACGGGGCCCAAGTCTTTCACCTTGGAAACAGACTGTGGTCTGTGCATGGGTTCTCTTCAGGCATCAACTCCCCTGAAACAGACTGCAGGCTGTGGATGTGGGAACGCAAATGGATTACACCAGCAACACCACACTGATACTGGGGCTACTCCTATCTAACACGACAATCAACCAGACGACCAACAACCTCTGAGCACCTATGGCTCTGTGCCAGGCACCAAGCTCAGTGCTGGTCCCAAGAAACGAGCAAAGCTATTGGGGTCTATCCCTCCACTGAGGGAGACCAAAAGAAAAAAAAAAAAAGTATACAGCTGTGGTCCTTTTGTTATTGCACCGCAATTCCAGAAATACCTCCATTCTCTGCAGACAGGAAGGGGAGGACAATTATTACCCCTTTTAATAGCTGCGGTAGCCCTAAAGCTCAGGACCTGACCTTTTGGTTCCCCTAAAAGAAACATGTAGAAACAAGTAGATGCTCTCCACTCAGCATTTCAAAACAGGATATAAATACTCAACTGAAGAACACAGTATCTGAGAATTCCCTAGTGAAAACTGAAAAACAAGGTAGACAGAAAAGCTTCCCAAGCTGTGGTCTCATACTGTGCAGAAATCCAGAGCTGTTAGGAATAAAAGTATTTCTTTTACTTAAAACTTCACAGAAACCCTTCTCTACACCTCAGCATCATGGGGGAAAGAAAGGATTCCAACAAACTTAGTCTAAACAGCTTAGTGAACTCCTTATCCTTCACCCTTCGAAACTTTACTTCCAAGAGAGGATGATCTCCTCCTTCAAACACAGGCCATCAGGGAGTAAATGCCCAGAGGAACTTCTCATGGAAGTAAACACCTAGAAACGATCCTGGTCATCCAGAGGCAAAGCAGGTAAAGGAAAGTAACCCCCTCCCTGACTTTGCACAGACCTCTCCTTCCTAATGGACAATTTTGCAGCTCATTTCTAACCAGGGAGAATAAAGCTGTTCCCACTACGGCTCCCCACCAACCCGACCCTGTTCTGGCCAATGGTGCCCTTCTTGGCCGTCAGCGGGCTCTTGCTGTACACACTGCCTGCCTTATGTGTCCAGTGTGTGAAGCCGTGTGCCACTGCAAAAGCCACAGGTCACCATCTACACAAAGGCCGGGGGGAACCAGAAGAACCCTGGAAACTCTTTCACTTCCCTTCTGCTCTGCCTTACCAAGCCCTCTCACAGAAAGCTATTGTGTAGGCTGCAGAAGGAAATAAAAGGGCGGACTTTTTCCAGCCTCCCCTGCAGACTACAAGGTGATGTAAAAAGCACAGAAGCTACCCCCCTACAGCTTTGGAGAAGTGCAGGCCTCAGGGGGCCCCACCGACACTGGCTTCTCACTCTTCTTTGTACTGGGCAGCATTGTCTAATAATGAGCTCAGCTCAACTGTGTGCCCTGTATTTTGCAGCAGAACTAATCCCTCATATTTTGCTTTTCACCCACATGTCTTTTATTGTTTGCTTTAGGGGGAGAAAAAGCCTTCCCTCTGAAGCAACCTACACCTTCTCTCAGCCATTTGGCTCTCTCACCTGCTCCCCTGTCAAAGCTCTGACCAACCACTGCGGGGACAGCAGCACGTCTCTCCTGGTGTTCGCGCTTCAACTATCCATGGGGCCGGTGGTTCACTGGTGAGAACAGTGATGCTAGCAGGTGGCTCATCCTCACCACAGCTCTCAGCCAGCTCGGTGTTTGTAAGAATTCTTTTTTTTTTTTTTCCCTCCTGGTAATAATTCTTAGTATCTATACTCACTGGTCCCTTATCTTCCCCAGCTAGGCATCTGCTGCTCAGAGTCTTTTAAAAGCAGAACCTTTTAGGGGCTCCTGGGTGGCTAAGTCGGTAAAGCATCTGCCTTCGGCTCGGGGTCATGATCCCAGGCTCCTGGGATCAGGCTCCCTGCTCAGCAGGGAGTCTGCCTCTCCCTCTCCCTGCTTTGTGCTCTATCTCTCTCTCTCAAATTAAAAAAAATTTTGAAAATCTTAAAAAAAAAAAAAAAGCAGAACCTTTTCAAGGTTTCTGAAGGCTCGTAAAAGGTGGCTGAGCCATCACGCTTCATCTGACCCCATGATTGCTTCCCGACTAAGATGCATTCCTGTCACCCTTCACTAATCAATTCCGTCAGGCCATCAGGCACAGAGAACATCAGAGCAATTACTTTTTCCTCCTACACCTATTCATCAACATCCATCCACCACCTTGCAGACCATCTCTTCTTCCAACCTCTACTCCTTCTCCAAGGAGTACGAAAAAGAAATGATCAACTTACACAGGCTTATGTAGAGTTCTTAGAATGTATTTTTGTTCACCTGAAAAATAAAACTTTTAAAAAATATACAGGACTTTTTGAGGACAGGTATATCTTAAATGGCTGAATTATAAATAATGTCTCTGGTCATGTTCACAGCTAGAGCTGGAGCTAATGTCCCAATTCCAGTGAAGGCTTTAGAGTCAGGAGGCCAGCAGCTGGACCTACGAGTGGTCTCTCTAGACTCTTTGATCCATCTCAAAGTGGATTCAACAGTCCAGAATGCAGGGATGGGAACAGGGGACTGGATTCCCAGATGTCCTCCTGCAAGTTCAAAGGATTCTTAGAATAAGAGATCAATTTACAAATTATTAAAATATAAGACTAAAAATTCACACAATAAATATAAATCACAGGCTATTATTGGAGTTATAAAGTGGCATTTTATGTTTCTTCCCCACCCCCAGACCCCCACCAAAAATTTAAAAAGGCCTCAAAGGCTTCCTAATGACCAAAGTCACATCAGCTGCTCAGAAATCTCCTCCAGCCAAGACACCCTGGAGGTGCTACCAGCCTGCTCCTAGGCTATACCAGCTCAGCTGCTGTTACCTTGCCCGCAACATGGCTTAAAGCAAGACTTGTGGTTCTGTAAACTTGGATCAGAGCTAACTAGAGTGTAGGCCAGAAAACTGGAGACAAACTGTTTTAGGACTCAGGTGGATAAGTTTGTCTTTTTTTTTTTTTTAAAGTGCCTAATTTCCCAAAAAGGAAACACTAAGGGGTTTGATATCTTGTCACTACCCACACTCATTGACTAAAAGCAAGTGGCAGAAGGAAATGAAATCCAAATTGAGGATGTATAATTCTTGCTATCCCAGAACTATATAGATGTCACTTTCCTTGGTGTTTCTCATCTCCATCAAAGTATAGGCTACGTGTAAGTAGGGTTTATCAGGAGAGGTAAAGACAAACCAAGGTAATTTTCCCACAGCTGGTCTATTAACTGGCTATCAAAGCACAATCCTGAGCTTGAAGCCCACCTTTAAGCCTTTCTGGTTCTGTGAATACAATGCAAAACCAGAAAATGTGCTCAGAGCTCTGGTTTCACACAGATTTCAGCCTAATTGTAGGGCAATACTGTCACAGGCTCAGGGAAGAAGGCAGGCAAGGGTGATTACTGGAACAAGACAAGATCTTGAGGAGTGGACAATAAAATAAAAACACTTGTGAGCCACTCTACTTACAAAAGCTTGCTCTTCCTAAAAGAACTCTGTGAGAAGGCCAAGGACTGAAGCACAGAGGCATTGCTCTTACCCCTTCCTTCTTCCCTGGCCCATATCCAGATAGTCAGGGCCGAAACAGGAAGCCTCTTCCGTGGGGGCACTAGGGTGGGAAGAGGAGGGGATTAGTTCGTTCTCCACCCTCCCTAAACGGCTTCTACTTCTAAGGTTTTCCACTGTCCTTTCAAGTCTAAGGATGATTATACCCTTGGGTCATAAACCTATCTTTCTGAAGTAAGGGGAATAGAATGGGTGATGAAAAAAAAACCAACAGTGTTTGTGCCCTTCTGGCTAGCTGCACTTTGGGGGCCAGCAAATAGCCCTTGCATGACCCCATCAGTGGGTAGCTACCCAGGGTTGTGGGAGGATACATACAGTTCTGTGTAATTATAGCTTCTAGTGCATATGTCAACAACTATATACAGGGATAGATAAATTAAATGCATCTGTGGCCACTGCAACTAGGTTGACGTACCTGAGCTCCACTACTTTTGGTGCCCTCCTTGCGAGAGCTTCAGCTTATTAAAGAGCCCCTATAGCTCCCTCCTTCCCCTGAGTCTTGGGGGAAAGCCCGAGTCACTCGTGCACATAGGATACACAAGAGCTAGCGACGAAAAACGAAAAAGGGTTCGGAGCTGGGATCTCCCCACCCCTCCCCCCATTCCCTTTATGGCTCAGGGCCCTGGCGCAGCACGGTCCTGGGAAGACCAAACCCCGAGCCCCCGGCGAATCGTGGTCCCTTGGCTGAAGATCGGGCTGCAGGCCACCCGCTCCCGGGGCGAGCTGGCGATCGTTGCGGGGAAGGGAGGGCGTTCACTCCCGTGGGGGTCACTCCCGCGGGCTCCCCGCCCCGTCCTGCTGCAAAGTCCTGCCTCCGGGCTTGGGGAGGGGAGACTGGTTCCCGGCCGCCCCTGGCGCAGAGGGGTTCAACGACTCCCCGGCGCCGCCGCCGCTTCCTCCTCGTCCTCTTCCAGCCCCCGAGGCCGCTCCAGTGGCCCGGCCAGGGGACTGTCGGCAGAGGGCTCCGGAGGCATGGGCCGCGCCGCCTGCAGCGGGGGCGCGTCGCGCGGTGCCTCGCGGCGGGACGACCCCGTGGCATTGGGCCCCGCCGCCGCCCCCGAAGTCCCGGACGGGCCGGTGGCGTTGGAGCCGCCGGGGGGCGGGCCGGCGGCTCCCCCCGAGGTCCCGGCGCCCACGGGCTGCCAGATGAGGCTATAGTAGACGGCGAGCACGATGGCGGCCAGCGACACGGAGAGCACGTAGGCGAACACGGTGGCGAGCCGGACCCACTTCTTGTTGGTCTTGGCCGCCATCTTCGCCTTCTTGTCCCCGGTGTAGGTGGCCGGCTTGCCCCGCTCGGCCGGGGCCGCGTCGCGCTCCTTCATGGGGGGGCCCCGGCCTTTGCCCCGGTGCTCCACGGCCCCGGCTGGAGGGGGCCTGGCGGCCTGCGAGGACTGGACAAGGGGCGGCGCGGCGCCCTCCGCTCCCGGCAGCTCCGCGCTCCGCCGCCGCTCCTCACGCCGCCCGCCTGCAGCCCTCCACCGCGTCGCTGCAGCCGCCGCCGGGGCCTGGACCAGTCACTGCCGCCAGCGCCGCCGCCGCCGCCGGCCCGTCAGCTGCTTCCCCGCCGCCGCCACAGCCACAGCCGCCACAGCCGCCCGGCTCCGCGTCCCCATCCGCTGCTGCTGCCGCCGCCTGCCCGGCCACCGGCCGCCCGGTCTCCAGTGGCCGCGCGGACGGCGCGCTCGGCTCCAGCACGGCTCCCCCACCTCGCGCGCCGGCACCAGGGGGCGGGGGGAGCGCTGCTGGGGGCTGCCTCTTAAAAGGGCGACACCGGGGTCCGGAAGTGCCGCGCGGGAGGCGGGCTTCTGTCGGGCGCCGCGAGCCCCGCCGGGACGCCCCGTTAGGAGAGAGTTAAAGGAGGCTGGTTCTTAAAAGGGCAACGGCGCCGCAGCCCAGCGCGGGCTGGCGCGACGAGGATGAGAGCCCGGGGCGCTTCTTTAAAAGGGGAACGGCGCAGTTTGGGGCGGAGTGCGGAACTAGAAAGGGAGTGGGGAGGGGCGGTCTGAGCAAGGAACTGTCAACTCTGGCGCCTCTACCTCCTCTCCAGACTGTCCGAAGTGACAGATGGAACGGCAGCAAGGGCTGCGGTCCTCAAGCCTGCTCCCCACAAAGTGGGGGCGATAACACGCTCATGCTCTCGGCTCATGCCCCGCTCCACGTACCTTAGGAGCAGGTCTCCCGGACCCCTTCACTCCTAGTGGGCCTGGTCCACATCCCGCACAGGCAGCTAAGGAGCCTGGAACACTCACCGCGGTCACAGCTGGTCGCGCCCTCTCCTCTCCTCCCCCACCCTCTTCGGCCGCGGCTGGGGTTTGGGGCTCTTGTGAAATCTTCCCGATTTCCTCCCTCGTTCTCTTAGAGCCCGGGTCACGGTGCGCAGACCTTTTAAAGTTTCTGGGACAGAACCACGTGCTAAGGTGGGCTCTCCAGACTCGCCTCCCATCTTAGTCCCGAAGTTCGCAACAGGTCCCAGATCCAGCTTTTTGGGGACTTCCGACTCCCAGCTTTGGACTCAAGGAGCTGCACTGAAACGGTGGCTCTCAGAAAATTTCCGCTCTCTGATTCTCTCTGGGCCTGGGGTTCTGGGCTGTTGTCCGCCCCTTCTCCCCCCTTCCTTTGTGAGGTTTGTGACCCCTAGGGTCCAGCTGGTGCTGACATCCCCTCACTAAGCTCAGAGTCTCAGTAGCCGCTTTCCCCTGTGCCTCCCTGGTCCTTCTGCCCTCCTCTCTCCAGCCTTCTGTTCTCCCCACTCCCTCTGCTGAAGGCTTTCCAGAATTCATGGTTCCCTCCTCCCTGAATTCTATTTCCTGTGTTCCTGGAGCTGGGTGTGCAGGCTGCCTGGGTGTCTTAGTGGGTATGTGAGACTGTGTCTGTGTGACAGTGTGTGGGGGAGAGGGCTGTAGTGGTGATGGGATCCTGTGTGTGACACAGGCCCCCTTCATGTGTGAGACTGACTCCTGGCTCCTGACTCTCTGGGACAGGACCCTCTCTGCCCTTCCCATTTTCCTTCCTCCTCTACAAGAATCTTTGCCTTCCAGACACCTGTCCCTTTATAAGGAAGCTCCTCCCCAGAATTCCTGCCCTGCTACCTCAGCCAAACAGAGGCCAAGGGCTACCAGAGCTGAGGTTCCTGATCAGCTGCTTAAACCACAGGCCTGTAACTCAGCCCCTCTCTCTCTCTCATTCCTGAGACCCAGGTGTGAGTCTGCCACTAGCAGTGGTCAATTGCATGCTATTTCCAGGAATAGCCTAGCTTGCCTTTGTACTTTCTGAGGAATTTTAAGGACATCGGAAACTTGGAGTGTTAATTTCCTTTTGTGGGATGTTGGGGGAAAAGACCACCACTCCTTCTCTGTCTTGCTCCCAGGTTGTTCCCAGCTTGCCCAGCAGGGTGGCCTGTTAAGTTAAAATCTCTGAATTGTCTCTCGATGTTGTCTTCTCTTCTCTTCCCTACTTTCTGGTCTTCCTGGCAGAACTGATCAGATCAACTATACAAAGGTGAATTATTTTGGAAGATTCCAGGTAAGGCCAACCCAAAGCCTCCTTCCATTCTCTTTCTTGAGTGTACTCCATATTTTTTCTGTTGCAAAGTAAACTTTCCTCTTGCTTGGTTCCCAGTGGGGTAGGAAAACAGCATGTCACTTTTTTCTATGCTAAGGAATAAATATACTCAAAGCCCTTATTCAATTCCTCTCACCCTATTCTTCTCCAAACGAAACAGTGCCAGATTCTTTAACCTGTCATCAATAAGCCCTATTTATTAGCTGGATTTACAGAGTGTCTTTTACCCTAGGAATTCAAAATGCTTTCAGATATAATTGAGCCTGATCTCCCTGGTGCCGGAGCCATTAAGAAACCATTAGTGTATTCCTGTTGCAGGCAACTCAATGGCCCCCTAGTGGCCTGAAAGTGAATATGCTTCTCTAAGTGCCTCTCCCCAACCAAGGGTAAGCAGAGAAATCAGAAAATCAAGGCAGCTTGGGGACAGAATGCGTCCCAAAGGTCATCTTTTGTTATACCCCCAAGGGCCCTAGAACCTCCTCCACAACATCTTTATGGCGCCTTCTCCAGCAGCAGCTAAGACAGTATCCCTGATGGTGTACCTTATTGTCCGCTCTATAAGGCAGCCTTTTCAGCTTTAGAAAGTTCTGACCCATTGTAACAGTAGCGATATCCTTGCCCTTATTATGTGCTGGCTCCAGATTTAGCCCTTCCTTTCCTCATCTCATTTGTCTCACAACAGTCTAGAAAGCAGTTACTCTTTATCTCCATTTTTGAGATGAAGAAATAGCCTCAAAGAAGTTAAGTAAGTTGCTCAAGGTCACATAGCTAGATAGAATTCAAACGTGAGTCCTTCTGACCCTAGGGGGGTTCTGACTCCTGCTCTACTCTGCCAGGGATATTCAGGGGCCTGCTAGGGAAGGAAGAGGGCGATACAGGCAAGCTACAAAAGCAGCTACAAAAGTGGCCAACATGGAGTGGTAGGAGCCAGGAGAGGTTGTGTAGGCTGGATCCGTGGGGAGCTGAACTGGAATATTAAGTTAAAAAAAAAAAAAAGGAGAGTTTATTGATATGGGAGCACTCTCAGGTGAAATAGGATTTTGTACCCTGACAAGGATCCTGGGAGACAGAGAAAGGCAATGGCCAGCCAAGGAAAAAGGAAATGCCAGAACTGCCATAGCAGAGGATGGAAGAAGGCTTCAGAAAGCTCAGAGAAGTGAGCCTGCTATGGTCGGTACTCTGTGTAAGGCCAGAAACCCATGCCTGTCCTGCAGGAAGGCCCAAAGGATACTCTGGTTATCAAAGCAAAGAGGAACGCACTAGGAGAAGCTGTTTGGCTGTCCTCTGAACGTCAGGTCTGGCAGCAAGAGGCCATTACAGAACTGGCTATTTGATAGTGATGGGGGTGATAGGACCATGAACTAATAGAAGCCAGAGGTTGGTACACTACAGTGATGAGCAGCAAGTTGGACGCAGTGGAAGGTCCTGACGGTAGAGCTAGGCAGACAGGGAATAGAACAGAGCATCCCTAGGGCAAACTAGATGGGCAGCCAGGAATGGTTTTGCTCAACCCATGCCAGTGGTTCTCAAACCTTTTGATCTCAAGATCGATTTCACTCTTGAAACTGACATCTCCAAAGAGCTTTTGTTTATATGGATTATCTCTATTGATACTGTTGCATTAGAAATAAGACTGAGAAATTTATAAAATACTTACCAATTAATTAAAAAATAATTAGCCCATTATGTTAACATCAATAGTATATTTTTATGAAAAGTAACTTCAGGGCCACCTGGATGGCTCAGTCATTAAGCTTCTGCCTTCAGCTCAGGTCATGATCCCAGGGTTCTAGGATCGAGCCCTGCATTAGGCTCCCTGCTCAGTGTGAAACCTGCTTCTCCCTCTCCCACTCTCTGCTTGTGTTCCCCTTCTCACTGAGTCTCCAGCAAATAAATAAACAAAATCTTAAAAAAAAAAAAAAAAGAAAGAAAAGTTACTATATTTATGGAGGAAAAAAGTTAGTGAAAGTGTGGCTTTTTTCACGTTTTTGCAAATCTCTTAAAAGTGGCTTTATAGAAGACATCTAGATTCTCGTATCTGCTTCTATTGGCAATATGTTGTTTTGGTTAAAATATATGAAGAAAATCTGGCCTGACCCAGATATGTGGTTGGGAAAGACAGCAGCATTTTAATAGCCTTTTCATATAATTTGAGACTACACCAAAACTCAACAAGTAGTATTTTCTTAAGTGGTAGTTGTAATGTAGAATATGAAACTATATCATTGAATTCAATCACATTAAAGTGTATTAATCTACCTGCACTATGAATGGCTCTTCTACCCATGCATAGTTTTATAACATCCTTCTTTGGTCATTTGGAAAACACTGGCTCATTGGATTATATTGATCTGTCAAATATTGATACAATCCATTATAAAATATTAAAAGTTGTATTTGTTAATGTCAGAAAAATTTATTGGATTCTGTCAAGCTCATGGTAGTGCATATAAGTTTTCTAAAATTCTAATTTTCACTGAAAAGTTCAAATTTTGAAATGAGTCACAAATATTCTCCGTTGTTTTCCTCAAAGGGACAGGCTTAGTTGGTTTGAATTAGAAAAAAAAATCTGCCAAATAACCAAGTCTTAACAACCACAGTTTATCTGTCAAGTTATTTCAAGCGAAAATGGTCTTCCATGAAAAAAAAATTGTACAGCTTGTAACTCAGTGGTGCATAAGAGAGGCCCATGATACTTCTGCATGGAGTACAGTACTTCCCGTTTAATAACAGAGAATATTTATTTTTATTTTTTTCAATAATATTTTTTGTTTGTTTGTAAGTAGGTTCCACACCCAGCGTGGAGCCCAAGGTGAGGCTTGAACTCACGACCCTGAGATCAAGACAT